GTTCTACCACTGAGCCACGCCCCCAGCCCCTCACTGGGGGATTCTAGGCAGGGGCTCTACCACTGAGCCACGCCCCCAGCCCCTCAGTGATGGATTCTCCTTAGGCCTACCATTGAACTAGATTCTAAGCCTTTTTTTGACTTTCTGTGTGTGGGTGAGGTATGGAGGTGACATCAACGCTGGTCCTCTTCCTTATCACTGCTATTATCGTCGTCATGATGACCGTGTGTACGATGGAGGCGTGCATGCTATCATGAAGGTGTGGACCAGGTCAGAGGACAGCTTTGCTGAGTCAGGTTTCTATTTCTACCTTTATGTGGGTTCTGAGAATCAAACTCAGGTCATCAGATTTGGCTGGTTACCTGCTGAGCCATCTCAGCAGCCGCTTTTATAATTGCTCTGTGTATGTGTGAGTGTGGGTGCACAGGCTCCATGATATACACGTGGAGGTCACAGGGCAAGGCCTTTCTACCTGATGAGCCATCTCACTGGATTATTGTTCTTTGAGACAGAGACACAGAGACACTTACTGAACCTTGAGCTCATATGTTTCTGGCTAAGCTGGTTGGCCAGCAAACTCCTGGGATCTACGTGTGTCTACCCCTCTCAACACTGCGATCACCCAGATATTATACGGGTGCTGGAGATCCAAACACAGGTCTTTTGTTTGCTTGGGTTTTGGTTTTATTTTCAACACAGGTTTTCTCTGTGTGTCCTGGTTGTCCTGGGACTCACTCTGTAGCCTGGAGCTCACAGAGATCCATCTGCTTGCCTCTGCCCTCCTGCTAGTCCTGGGGTGAAAGGTGGATGCATACCATCCCCTGGCCCACACTCAGGATTTTATGCGTGCACAGTAAGCCCTGTATCCACTGGGTCACCCCCGCCCTCCAGCCCCTTTTACTCTTTGAGACATAGTCTTGCTAAGTTGTCCAGGCTAACCTTGGTATCTCCCTGTCTCAGCCTCCCCAGTAACTGGCATTATAGTCCCTCACTACCAAGGCAACCTAGAAGGAGGCTTCTGAAGGAATGTGTGTGTCCCCAGCCCTTGCTCTTGAAGTACAGGTGCAGTGCGGCAGGCCTGCAGTTCCCAAGCCCCAACGGTTGTCCCCCCTCAGGCCCACAGTAGGCACCTCCCACAGCACAGCTGAGATCCATCCAGCCCTGACATGCCAGTAAAGCCTAGACTGAGAAATCCTAGCTCGACTTCTACAGGTTCTGGAACTCTCCAGCACGCCCTCCCTTACAGCCATAGAACTTTGTATAGTACTGGACATATCTCATCTGTATTGTCCTGAGAGACAGCCACTGGCCACATGTTGCTGGTGACTATCTGAAATGGGGTGGATATATTTTAGGAAGAGGATGTTTAATTTTAGGGTAGGATGAAGGTTAGTTTGTTGTTGTTGTTGTTTTCTTTGTGAGACAGGGTCTCACAATGTAGTTCTGGCTGGCCTGGAACTCACTCTGTAGACAGGGCTGGCCTTGAACTCAGAGATCTGCCTGCCTCTGCCTCCCAACTGCTTTGATTAAAGGTGTGCGACCTCATGCCCTGCTTGATTGTGTTGTTTTCGAGGTCAGGTTCTCACTGTGTAGCTCTCCTAGTCTAGAACTGATTACATAGACCAGGCTGGCATCACACTTACAGAGACCCACCTGCCTCTGAGTGGTGGGAATACAGGCTTGGCCTGAGACGTTGCTCCCCACCCCAGCTGTTTTTAATTCCTAGAGAACTATTATTCAGATTGTTTAGATTCGTTTCATGTGTTTGAGTGCTTTGCCTGCATGTGTGTCTGTACTGCGTGCATGGCTATTGCCTCTGGAGGCCAGGAGAGAGAGAGAGAGAGAGAGAGACAGAGAGAGAGACAGAGAGAGAGACAGAGAGAGAGACAGAGAGAGAGACAGAGAGAGCGCGCATTAGATCCACCAGAACTGGAGTCACAGATAGCTGAACGTCATCATGTGGGTGCTGGGGATTTAACCCTAGTCCTCTGCGAGAGCAGCCAGCGCTCTCTGGCTCAGGCTTCCTGGCCCCACTTAGAATTATTTAATGTGTGAGTCTATGTATCACATGAATGCCTGCTGCCTACAGAAGCCAGAAGAGGGCATCAGGTCCCTGAGAACTAGAAATATGCGTGGCTTTGAGCCCTGTGGATGCTGGGAATGAAACTTGAGTCTTCTGCAAGAACAAGAGCCCTCAGCCGGGTAGATTTTTTTCTTGAGACAGGGTTTCTCTGTGTAGCCCTGGCTGTCCTGGAACTTATTCTGTAGACCAGGCTGGCCTCGAACTCAGAAATCTGCCTCCTGAGTGCTGGGACTAAAGGCGTGCGCCACCACTGCCCGGTTCCACTTTACACTTTGAGACAGGGTCTCTCAATCAACATCGAGCTTGCCAGTTCAGCCTCAGGAATCCTCCTGTCTCACCTCTCTACCTCCCCAGCACCGGATTCCAGATGTGTGTTTCGCACCTGGCTCTCCTTTATGAGGGCTACACCCGTGTACTTACACTTTCCTGGCAAGCACTTTACCCACTGAGTCATCTCCTCAGCCCGAAGGACATTTAACTCCAGGTGTCAATGTAAACAGCCACACGTGTTGAATGGCTTCCACACGGGTAGTCCCAGTGGTCCCTCCGCCTTCCCTGGGTGTAGAGATAGCTTACCTGTGGGCTCTGGACCCGGGCTGGATGGCTCCTCCTGAGACACAATGGCTGGAAGCTGGAAGGCATCCAGGGGTGTTTGACCGCCTTCAGCATGGCTGGGGACAAGATGATGGAACTGAAAACCAGAAATCTTGGGACAGCAGTGAGTACAGACATTTTCCAGTATGGAACTTGTGGCTACTACCCCGCGGCACTAAAAACTTTCTACCAGACCTATAAACTCCTAGTTGAATACACACACACACACACACACACACACACACACACACACTCACACGGTTAATTAGATCCAAGAACTCCTATGTGCTAGGCAGGGACTCTACCACTGAGCCACGCCCCCAGCCCCTCACTGGGGGATTCTAGGCAGGGGCTCTACCACTGAGCCACGCCCCCAGCCCCTCACTGGAGGATTCTAGGCAGGGGCTCTACTACTGAGCCACGCCCCCAGCCCCTCACTGGAGGATTCTAGGCAGGGGCTCTACCACTGAGCCACGCCCCCAGCCCCTCACTGGGGGATTCTAGGCAGAGACTCTATCACTGAGCCACGCCCCCAGCCCCTCACTGGGGGATTCTAGGCAGGGCTCTGCCACTGAGCCACGCCCCCAGCCCCCTCACTGGGGGATTCTAGGCGGGGCTCTACCACTGAGCCACGCCCCCAGCCCCTCACTGGGGGATTCTAGGCAGAGACTCTATCACTGAGCCACGCCCCCAGCCCCTCACTGGGGGATTCTAGGCAGGGGCTCTACCACTGAGCCACGCCCCAGCCCCTCACTGGGGGATTCTAGGCAGGGGCTCTACCACTGAGCCACGCCCCCAGCCCCTCACTGGGGGATTCTAGGCAGGGGCTCTACCACTGAGCCACGCCCCCAGCCCCTCACTGGGGGATTCTAGGCAGGGCTCTACCACTGAGCATTCCTTATTGAGACAGAGTCTTCCCAGGTTTCCCAAGGTGGCTTTGAACTTTCAATTCTCCGTCTTTCCACTACCTTAGTCTTTCCACTGGCTGGGACCAGAGTACCAGACCCAGTTTCAAATTTATTCTCATCTGAGTTC